AGCTGGGGGTTCACCAGGTGACACCACGCTCCCACTCTGCCTAAGCTGAGCCTGCTATCAGATGAGTAGTGAACAGCTTCAAGCTGTTGCTGCCTTCCTCTTCCCTGTTTAGTTTGACTGCACAAATACCCTGAACGATCAGATCCTGGAGAATGTCACAGTGCAGATGGAGCCAACAGAGGGGTATGAGGTCATTGGCTATGTACCTGCCAAAACCCTGGTGTACAACCAGCCGGGAACCTGCTACACGCTGGTGGCACTGTCTGAAGAGGATCCGACAGCAGGTAAACAGTTTGCACTCTGTTTTTTCCTGTACTGTTCATCCCCACACATTCTACCGTGCATCCTAGCCAGATATTTATAGCCTTTGTGTGGGTGCAGCCCTGAGTGATGCTGAGCATGACTTGTCTTTGCTGTTTGGGGGCTGTCAGGCCTCCCTTCTCCTCTCCTGGTTCCCTTGCACTGTAGCGCTGTCGAGTCAGGCTATGAGAGCTGGCAGATGAGCATTCAGCTCTCTACTGAGTTTTCTCCCATGCACTCTGGCATGTTTTTCAGTCTGTCTTTATGTTTGATGAGGGGAGGCTGGTACTTATAAAGTGCTCTGAGTCCCCAGATGCTCTGAGGAGCAAAGGGGTATTTCAGACAAACCACTAGAATTTCAGGGATGCCGATTTGAACTGAACATCCCCCCATTTGCCACTGTCCAGAACATGAACCAGGCCTTACCTGTGCTTTGGTCTCCCTGCTTTGTGCTCTAGCACTGCTCACCTGTGTGTGTTGCTGCTGTTCACTCAGCAGTACCCAGTTCCTAGGAATGAGTCATCGCTTCCTCTCCCATCCCAGCTGAGTGGTATTAATCAGCTGCAGCATTGCAGTGCAAGGTGGTTTCATTTCAGAGGCGCATGAACCCATCCCTAGATGCGGATCCTGCCTCTTCACAATGTGCTGGTGGGACATGTTTAGTTAGTATTCCCAAAACAACATGAGGTTCATCAGTAATAGCACTTGATCTGGGGATTATCGTCTCGTAGAACCATCATGAGCCTGTCTTTATCACTGTGTGCTAGCCTTAATATACAAATAAATACCTTGTGCATGAGAGACAGAAACTGTTGGGAGAGCCCTTTCTAGGTCACTGGCTAAGCCTGTGCTGCTGACAGTGACAGGGAGAACCTGGCTGCCCCAAACCTCCCAGCCCCTTCTGCAGAGTTATGGGGATGTGGTGGCAACTGTGGTTTTGCCTTTGTCTCCCTGCCTCCAGTGGCCTGTACCTTCAGCTGCATGATGAAGTTCACTGTCAAGGACTGTGACCCAAACACGGGGGAGACAGATGACGAGGGTTACGAGGATGAGTATGTGGTAAGGAGCTGGGCATGTACCTGGTCATGGAAACTGCTGTCATTTTGAGGGGGTTTGTGAGCTGAACTTGGATCCCTGCAAGCAATGATGTGACCACTGACACTGATGTGGGTAGCATCACGTGAGGAGAGAGTTCTTGCTGTCTCTGGTATCTGTCCAAGGATGCAGATGGGGGTTTGCAGAGCTTGCCTTGTCTCATTTGGAGTATTCTCCTATTGCTCTCCAGATGGACACCTGACTGTGCAGGATGTGTAGTTTTGGGGGGCCACAGTGCATCCCCCAGGTTTGGCTGGCTGTGCCCTATGGACTGCAGCAATGACACACTCAGGGTTGTGGAGATAGAGGACTGTTGGGCATCTTTTGTTCTCCATGAATTGCTCCCATGGTGGCACAGTTAATTGTCTAGAGGCTTGCCTGGTACAGGAAAGTTGCCATCCTTGTTCTTGTTCTGGGGAACGTGGGGCTTTCACTCCCCAGCAGTGAGATTGCTGAAAGCACCAATGCTGCAGAAGCATCTCTCTTCCTCAAAGAGGAAGGGATGTTGTACACAGCCTCAGCTTGCCCTGTTAGCTCCAGAGACTGTTTTCTATGCATTGCCTGTCACTGCTGTGAATCTGATTAGAGGCACTGCTGTGCAGTGAGTCACTGTCTTCCCAGCAGGAGTGGGGAGGGTTTTTCTCAATGGAATGTGCAAGGTTAACCCCTCTCTCAGCTTCCCACTACTCACCAAGTCACCAAGTGATATTTAAACAAAATCTTCCATGTGTTTCAACTGGAATCAGGAGGAGATTCTTTCCTGCAGTGATTGCTGAAATGAATGCAGGCTGGTGTGCAGCCAGCTCTGGCACTGCCTGCCCTTCAATATGCACTCTGGAGGGACAAGCCCAGTTCTGCCTTGCACAGGTGTAGTCACAGCAGCAGCTCAGCTACCCCAGTGCCAGTATTAGGTGACAGCACGTCTGACAGTGTCTCACTCTGCCAACCTACAAAACGATAAGCCAGAAAAGCAAAACACAAGCTTATGTGCATTTCAGGGGAAAATGCTGCATCTGTGTGAGCACAAGCAGCTATTTCTAAGCTTTTGGGTTTCCTTCTGTTTTGGCTGTTTGTCCAGTGCTTTGATCTCTGTCAGGCCGAGGGCTGTGCTCAGAGGGAGAACCTGATTTGTAAGCCCTGGAAAGAGCATCACCAGGGCCTTTCTCAGGCCTAGCAATTGCTCAAACAAGCGGTGTTTGCTCAAGCAAACCAGAAGTGGAAGTGGAGGCAGTCTCCTGCCTTCACCTGATCTCAGGGAATCCAGTCTAAGGTTCACTTTGTGGAGAACAGAGTCAAGAACAACCATGTTTCACTTGAACCTCTTCTACCACCAGCTTGAAGACCTGGAGGTAACAGTGGCTGATCACATCCAGCGAGTTCTGAAGCCAAACTTTGGAGCAGCCTGGGATGAAGTGGGTGACGAGTTTGAAAAGGAAGAGACCTTTACTTTATCTGCTATTAAAACCCTTGAAGGTAAGGAAGGGGGTGTCTGAGCACAGCAGAGCTTGTACTGTTCCCTCCAGTGGCAGAGTCTGGAGGCCCAATCTGGCTCACTTTTGAGCTCTCACAGAAAAGCTAATGGGGCAAAACCCTTCATAAGCTTTTCACTAGAGCTGTTTAATGTGGAGCTACAGTTACTGTGATAACAAATTAGCTCAGGTTTCAAAAAAACAAATGAGTGTTCTAGGCCCAGTGGAAACCAGGATTATGGGAGGCAAGAGAATATCTTGGTTTGTTTTCACACTTTACCCTCCCAGGCAGACAGACCATAGTTCAGCTGTGGGCTCCCACCATTCTTCTTGAGGCCAGTAAGAAAAAATGCAAAAAACAGAAGACATGAGGTTGGTGGGCAGGCTGATGGTATAAGCCCTCTTGTCTTTCATCATGTATTAAAGAGTCCTATTTTTACTGAGAAGCCTATGAAAACTCAGTGCTTTTGATGCCTTAGCAGGGTGTCCTTGTCCTGTAACCATCTCTGTGCTCCCTTGCACAGCCCCTTGGGGTTTGAAATACCCTCCCTGAGGCCTTTTCAGATTCCTCCTGAAGACCTGTGACTTCTGCAAGATATTTCCTTCCTTCTGCATCTCTCTCCAGAGAGGTGAACAGACTGTCAGGGCTGTGCAGTAAGTGCAACCAGCTGCACTCTCCTACTGCCCTTGTTTGACTCATTCACCCTCTCTGTTGCACCTTTGCTACATCACAGAACTCTCTCATGGCAGTGGGTTTTTTGTGTGTTGCCTTTGCCTCCCTGGTGGCCTCTAAAACTACCCTTCTGACCAATGCTGTGTGTCCCTCAAGACAATGAGCACGAACCCTAACATGTTGGAAAGGCTTGAGTCACCTTTAGGTGCCCCTGTTAAGATACCTGTGACATGGAACCCCTTTTATTTATTTTTTCTAACAGAGGCAGTTAGCAATATCGTGAAGTTCCTGGGAATGCAGCCCTGTGAGCGGTCGGATAAAGTGCCAGATAACAAGAACTCTCACACACTGTACCTGGCAGGTGAGCTGTGGAGTGAGGTCTCTGCATGAGGAGCAGCTCTTTGGGAGGTCACACAGAGCTGCCTGTTGAGAATCGGGGCAGGAGTTTCTGATGGAACCCACTGGAATTCAAGTTGGATTTGGAGGCATCTGCCTGCCATGATTTCTGTCTCTGCAGTGTAGAGTAGCTGGTGTTGGGATCAGGGAGGGTGCTGTGGTGGGGGGATGTCAGGTTAGCCCCAGGTTCAGCTAGGTGGAATTTACTGTCTTAGTGATCTGTGGCATCCTGGTTTGGAACTAGTCTGGGGCAGGAAATAGAGCAGCCTTGCCCAGCAAAACAGATCAGTACTGGAGCTCTTGGATGAGTGTCTGGATCTCTTCTCACCTGAAGTTTATTTTACACTTTGCTTTCATGGGTTTTACAGTAGCAGGAGTCCCAGATATGTTATAATGAATGGGAATAATGCTGATCGAGGGTCTCTCCTGGCCCAGTGCTGGGATTTGACAAGCTACCTGTGGGGAACCTGTCCGTGCCAAGCAGTAGTGTTCATTTTTATCCTGCAGCGCGCTCACCCCTTCCTTCACCTCTCCCTTCCAGGTGTGTTCCGGGGTGGCCATGACCTCCTGGTGCGGTCTCGTCTGGTCCTGACCGACACGGTGACGATGCAGGTCACGGCCCGCAGCGGGGAGGAGCTGCCCGTGGATGTGGTCATGGCCTCCGTCGGATAAACCCCCCTCTCCAGGACTGCCCTGACTCCGAGCCCCCGCGGGCAACGCTTCTTTCTCTGGCAGCAGAATAGGAATCGCGGTCACTAGAGCAGCTTTTGTGTTCTCTGCAGTACAGCTGTACTTGGGTCTCTGTCTATAAAACCACCATGTTTTTAAGCTCTGCCTACGCCGCGCTTTGTCCCCGCACCGCAGCGTTTCGCGGCGGGCGGCCCTGACCGCCGCTCCGTGTCCTCCTCCCGGTGTCGTTCCAATAAAACCGTGTTGTGGCTCTTCCTGGCTGTGTCGGGGGCGGGACCGGCGTTTCCGCGGCGCGGACCGGCCCTGCCCCCGGCGCGGCCCCTCCCCGCGGGCGGCCCGGAGCGGAGCGCGGTGCCCGGGCCCGCAGAGCCGGCGGGATGTGCGGGCGCACCGCCTGCTCCCTGGCCGCCGACAACCTCCGCCGGGCCTGCGCCTACCGCGACCGCCGGGGCCGCCGCCGCCAGCCCGACTGGGTTCGGGAGGAGCGGTACCAGCCCTCCTACAACAAGGGCCCGCAGTCCAGCGGCCCCGTGCTGCTCTCCCGCCGCCACCTCCACCAGGTACCTCCTCCCGGCTCGGCGGGGGCCATCTGGGGCGAGGGGCGGGTGATGGGCATCCTGCGGCTCAAAGCGGAGCGGTGGGAAAGGGACCGTGCTGGATCCCGGGGAGAGGGTGTAGGAACCGGTCAGAGCGGACGCGGCTTGTTTGGTTTCGCTTTGCTCTCTGTACGTGGCAGGTATTGCATTTTCTAATTGAAAAAATGTCTCATTATTTACTTGTTCCGAAGGAGGGGGGGAATCGGTACCGTGCTTCCAGCATGTTGTTTATGTTTTCTGCAGAAATGTGTATATGAGTGCTTAACCATAGTAGAGGTTTGTGGGGTTTTTTTCCAAATGCCTATAATTTTTCTGCTGATTTTAATCGGCTTTCCTGAGGCTTTTTTTTTTTTGTTTGTTTGCATTTCATAACACTGCTGCGTGTGTCCAGGTCACATTGATGGTAGGGGAGAGTAGAAAAAAAAAAAAGAAAAAAAATCTCAGCTTCAGAGCTGTACGGTAGCTGCACACCTGTGGTGACCGTTATCCCGGCTAATTTAAGCCTCACCCGACCTCCCCCAGACAACCTGGGCAGCCTGTACGACTCTTTGAGCAGCTCATTTGTTCCACATAAGAGAGTGCCCGGCCAACTGCTGCTCTTTGGCGTTCAGTGGGGTGAAACAGGGTGTGCTAAATTGAAACACCCTGCTCTGAACCCCCTCTGCTCTCCCTCCCCAGCTGGCGGGGCAGCAGAAGGGGCTGCTGCACTTTGCAGCTGTTACCAGCACAGGGGATGGGGTGGGACACCTCGGTGGGACCGCTCTGAAGTGCCATCAGGCATCCTTCATACCCTCCTTTCCTGCCTTGGGGGTCCCATATCCCCCAGAGAGCAGGCAATAAGCTGATGGAGCAGAGGAGTACGGGTCTGGGAACATGATACAGGACACAGGCAGACATCTGCTTGATTGTCCATCGCTGTTCAAGTTGTTGGGATGCTGGTGTGGTGTAGGGTGTTCTTTTTTGCCGCTCCTGTTCTGAAGAAGGCTCTGAAAGACTTCGCAAAACTGGGCACATACATGTCCCTGCATGCACACACCTGTGGAAGGTGTATATGTGTGTGTATGTGCTGCAGTCCCATGGGAGCACATGAGTGCTCCCTGGGGCCCCGCTCGCCCCAGCAGGCGCTGCCTGGGCTGGCACATGTGGGCAGAAAGCGAGAGTGAGCTGGGGGAGAACCGAAAACCACAAGCCGTTTCCATTGTCCTAAGGCAGGTAATATGCAAAACATGAGTGAAAGTGCACCAGGTTGGCAGAAATCACGTTATTAAAATGAAGGTGAGGCTTTTGCCCTGTTTGGGATGCCCACTGTCACCAGGGGTGTTTTGAGGATTGTGACACCAGCCTGACATGGCTGTTTACTCAAGAGCTGGGGAGTTCATGTCTCCAGCCACTTCCACTGAAAAGAACCTGTGTTAATTCTTCTAGAGAGTTGTCACGTGAGCTTCAGTGAGACAGTTATTTATTACTGCAAAATATTCTTGTGCTTTCTGCTGAGTATTAATTCTTACAGGAAAGTTGTTAAAGGTATGCACAGGGTTATAATCAGTGGCTGTTTCTGCACGGCTTGTGAGGGGCATCCCTGCAGGAGAACCGAGGCAGAGTTAGTGCTGCAGGGGCGGTGAGCCCCAGCTCAGCTCTCAGCAGAGATACTGGCTGGTTCCCCCTTGCAGGGGGAGAAGCTGCTTCAACAGGACCTCCCACAGCCCCTCTCTCAAGCTGTGGGGATGCTCATGGTCCCTGTGACGTGGCTCTGACCTGAGGTGTTTCTCTGTCTCGTTCAAAAGGATGCCGACTCCTCGGAGCGGGTCCTCATGGACATGCGCTGGGGCCTGGTGCCCTCCTGGTTCAAAAATGACGACCCCTCCAAACTGCAGTTCAACACCTCCAACTGCCGCAGTGACACCATGCTGAAAAAGACCTCCTACAAGGTGAGCTGCTGCTTTGTGCCCCGCTTGAAGAGATCTTGTAGTCGGCAGAACCAGGGCTGAAGCACCTCCCTGGGGAGTACTGGTCTCCACTTGCCTGCTGCACAGGGGAGCGAGTCCCTGTACTGTGGAACTGGTGGATTTCATTAAAATAGAGCTGAAAAAGTAGTTGCTGGTGAAGCTCATCTTAGCACTAGTGGCATTTGTGCACCCCACGGGGCAGTTTAGGAAAGCCCTGAGAGGGAGCAAGTGGGCTGAGTGGTCCCAGGAGCCCTGTCCTCCCTCACAGGCTGCCTGAGGCTGCTGCTCACCTTGTGAGCTTGTGCTTTCTCTCCCCAGGGTGCTCTCCTCAAGGGCAAGCGCTGTGTGGTCCTGGCCGATGGCTTCTACGAGTGGCAGCAGCAGCAGAGTGGGGGGAAGCAGCCGTATTTCATTTACTTCCCCCAGACCAAGGACGCCGTGGTATGGAGTCCCTCGCTCTGTCTTAACACTTATGCCCCTGCTCCAGCCAGCTCTCTGGCGAAAAGCCCCTTTCCCTCCAGCTGTGCACATCTCTAGGAGCCTCTTTCCCAGTAGGGCTGTGTTTAGCAGTGGGCTCGGCACTCTGGCATCCCTCTGGGGCTGGCGGTCCCCGGGCTGTGAAAGGTGATGCGGCGTCCCCACCGTCACGCTCACTGCTCCCCACGTGCTGGGTATTTGCATGGGTGGGCAATGTGGCTCACAGGGGACTGGGCTGGGAGTTTCACTACCTCTTTCCTTCGGCTGAGCTGGTGGCTGGGATGTTCAGAAGGGGAGGGGAGTGATGGCTTCCCTGCGGGAAAAAGGCTCCTGGAAAGCCCTCAGATTAGTTTTTGGAAAATCTGTGCTGCTTTGGTTGCCCATGGGCCAGCACTGACCGGGGTGATGGGGCCTCTCCTGCAGGATGAGGGGACGGAGGGAGATGAGGAGTGGAAAGGATGGAGGTTGCTCACCATGGCTGGAATTTTTGACTGCTGGGAGCCACCGTCAGGAGGGGAAATGCTGTACACTTACACCATCATCACTGTGGATGCCTCCAAGGACGTGAGCTTCATCCATCACAGGTAAGTGAGAGCAGGCAAAGGGGCTGCAGGGCAGAGGGGGGCAGGGGAGGAGAGCTGCACCTTTGGACACCAGCCTGGCAGCATGCAGGCAGAGAGCCCTGCCTCCTCTTCCTGCCCTCAGAGAAAAACACTACAACATTACCGGCTTGTTTCGGGTCACCAGCTCATGCCCTTTCCATAAATCACCATCTTTGTGCCCTGTGGGAGGCAGTTGGAGTTGGATCACTCTCTGGAGTTGGATCACTTTCTGCCTGACCACAGCCTGGCAGTCAACCTCTCTGCCTCTTCCAGCAGAGCAGCTACCTTGGTGAAGCGAATGTGTGCTCTGCCTTGCAGAAGAGCATCCTGCTGCTTCAGTTTTCCCCATTTCCCCCCAGACTGCCAGCTCCTTGCTAGCTACAAGTCTGGCTTTTGCTACCACACACTGCTGTGTCGGTGCTGAGCTTTAGCTCCAGCTGTCTTATCCCCTAGGATGCCAGCCATCCTGGACGGGGATGAAACCATCAGGAAATGGCTGGACTTTGCTGAAGTGCCAACCCAAGAAGCTGTTAAACTCATCCAGCCCACAGAGAACATTGTTTTCCACCCAGTGTCCACCTTTGTTAACAGCATCCGCAACAACACGCCCGAGTGTGTTGCACCCATCGAGCTGGGAGCCAAGAAGGTGGGTGCTGGTGGGGGCTTGGCAGGGGGGATCTCGGTCATGGTGGTGTCCCTGGGCTGGGACAGAGCTGCCAGGCTGCAGGATGGGTGGCAGCAGGCAGCAACTGCAGGGCATGCCTGTGCTTGATGCTGGAGTGCAGAGCCCTGGACAGATTCCCTTCCCTCCGCTTCCAGAAATAAACTGTCACCCCGTGCCAGGATTTCTCTGCCAAATGAGGCAAATTCCATGCGAAACGGGTCTTGGAACAAGCCTGTTCCCCGGCAGCCTGGGGAGCCTCCCACAGATGTGCCTGGTTGCAGGCAGGGCCATTGCTCAGCTTCCACATCCTGCTCTGGAGCAGCTCTCGCAGTGCCCTGCTCTTACCATGCTTCTGACCTCTCCCACACTGCCTTTTGTCTCTCCAGGAGGTCAAAGCCACCCCAAGCAACAAAGTGTTGCTGGGCTGGTTAAAAAACTCCCAGGAGGGCTCTCCCCAGAAGAAAGAAAACGATTTGCCCAAGTGGAAGAGTCAGTTCATCCACAGCCCTTCGCCTAAGAAAACCAGTGCAGATATCCTGCAGCAGTGGCTGGGGAAGCAGGGAGAGCCAGCTGCGAAGAAGCACAAGGCTTAGGCACCAGCTGGGATGGTTGGCCATCCTTTTACCTCCTGATTTTCCTAAGTGGAGTGAGTCATGTTTTTTTCGAAGGCTTTGCAGACTGATGTTGAGATTGTACAAGCCTCTCAGGTGTTGATCCGCTGCTCTAGGTTGTTGTCTCTGTTCTTTGTGTTTTGTTAAAAGTTGGTGTTTGTCTTTAAAGATTTTGTCTTTGTCTTGTGCTGATGGGAGTGAATATAACCTGCTGGCTTCCCTCCCTGCCAGTCACTCGTGCCAAACACAGATAAAGCCCTGAGAAGCATCTCAGTCTGCCAGGGAGGAATAGCTTCTGCCTCCTGTCAGCGTTCGTAGTTCAGGTCTCCTTCTGTTTGCTTTTCTCTTCCCTTTTTTTGGTATTAAACCGATACCTCTTTTCCACTTAATTCCACACTGATTCTGTACAAATTCCTTTCCAATACTCTCTCCCTCAAAAGATGGCTGCAGTACAGAGAAACAAGATGTAAATATTATAAGGAAACTCCAGGCTGGGAAGATCTGCAAGAGCCATCCCGCTCTGCACCAGCATTGCCAATACATCCATGGCTCCTAAACAGGGAGATGTTTAGGCAGTGCCTGGGAGGAACTGCACTTTGCTTGGCTTTCCCTACGGGCAGTGGGGTGGGACAGTGTGTCTCAGTCACGTTGTTTGTACAGTCATTTTGTTAATGGGATTTGAAGACTTAGAGAGGATTTCCTTGATCTGTGGAGGGATGCACTCTGCCTTGTTCATAAAGGTCATTCATTAAAGCCCAGATAACCAAAGTGCCATTACAGAGCAGCATAGGGCAGCATGTTTTTGAGGTCAGGGATTTTGTAAACACAGCCAGATGTTACAGACCGAAAGCCTTACACGGTGAAATCCTTGCTGGAAATCAGTACTTCCTTTGTATTGGAAACAATAAAATGGGCTTCACTGGCTGACTGTGCAGTGCCCTTGTCCGTGTGCCTGGCTGTGTCCCCCCTTGCCCAGTGCTCCTTTTTCGCAGGCAGAGCTTCTACCTCTTCTCCATGTGCTGAGGGGAAGACCATCTACCCACTGCTGAGCTCTGATGGTACTGGCAGGACCACGTTGCTGGAGCATTCCCATTTGCCAGTGGAAAATATTCCCTGGGAATTTATTTTGAACCATCTGTTCCTAAGGAGCTGCAGGGGTGGCTGTAGGTGAGGCTTGTCCCTGGGGAGGGATAGGAGAGCCAGGGCAGGAGCCCTGGATGGATACCTGGGGAGACCTGAGCGCTCTTGGAGTGAAATCTGCCTCTGAATCCCTCGCGTGCTGTGTAGGCAGCTGATCCCAGGTTTCCTGGCTTATGGAAGCAGGGATGGGATTAGGACTTCTAGCCAGAAAGCCTCTTGCTAGCTGGCTCCTCATTGCTCCCACCATGACTGGAGGCAAGAGAATCACTGTATTAGCAGTTCCTGGCAGAATAAATAGGTTTTCAGGCTGTGGGCTGCCACCATGGTACCTGTTGTTGCAGGAGGTTTCTCTCCCTGCCCAGCCATCACTTTTCCAAGATGAGCGGCTCAGCTGACCTAGCCTGGTCGGTGCTAACTGCAGATCAGGCTTTTCCAAAGGTCACTAGCTCATCTCAAATTCATTTCAGGTCTCCAGTTGCTGTGGAGGGAGTGAAGATGCTGAGCACGAGTTGGGGATGCTCAACTTTCCCTGCTCTGGGGAACATAATCCTTCCCTTGGGGAGTCAGGGGCGATGCAAAGACACAGGGTACAGATTATCTCCCTCCAGGCTGTGAGCTCCAGCAGTAGCATCACCAAAAAACCCCTATGCTGAGTGTTTAATGAGGAGATGTTATTGCTGAACTACATCACCTTTAAACTGGAGCCTGGCTGCTTGCCCAACGCTGTTTGTAGCAACCTGGCGAGGAGTCAATCCACCCGGTGTGACCTGTCCCCAAAAACTGTTTGGGGAGCAACTTGCCCCTTTGATGCGTGATGACACAAGAGAGGGTAGTGCTTGCTGCGGGCAGCTCTTCCCAGGGGGGGTTTCTTTCCCCCGGAACATCACCCCCCGCCCGCAGGCTTTGGCATCCTCCCGGGAGAGGCATCCCGCTGCCCGGGGAGGGGGCCACGAGTTCGGGCACGGCAAGCGGGGCACCGGTGAGGAGCAGCGCTGCTGGGACACCCACGGGGGCTCCGGCCAAACCCCCTCTCCTCGGCTGCGACGCAGCCACGGAAGCGCTCCGCGGGTTGGGGAGCGGGCCCGTCCGGAGCCGGGGCAGAGCCGCGGCGCTGCCCGCGCTGGTCTCCGGCACGGCCGGGGCGCCGCGAGCCCTATGCAAATCAGGGATCGGCGCGGGGACCAATCGGCGGCGCGGCGGCAGCAGCGGCAGCCAATGGGGCGCGGCGCTCGGCGGGCGGGAGGTGATATCCGCGGCGCGGCGGCGGCAGCGCGGGCAGTGCGGCGGCGGGCGGCGCGCAGGGCGGAGCGGCGGCGGTTCCTGCGGGTAAGGGCGGCGCGGCGCGGGCGGGGACGGCGCGGCCCCGGCGCGGTGTAACGGCGTTTGTCTCCCCGCAGGCGCCGGGACTCTCTGTGCGCGGCGCTGCTTTGAGAGGCGGCGGCGAGGGGCCGCTGCCTGCCGGCCATGTCGGGCCGGGGGAAGTCCGGCGGGAAGGCGCGGGCCAAGGCCAAGTCGCGCTCGTCGCGGGCCGGGCTGCAGTTCCCCGTGGGGAGGGTGCACCGGCTGCTGAGGAAGGGTAACTACGCGGAGCGGGTGGGCGCCGGGGCGCCGGTGTACCTAGCGGCGGTGCTGGAGTACCTGTCGGCCGAGATCCTGGAGCTGGCGGGCAACGCGGCCCGCGACAACAAGAAGACGCGAATCATCCCGCGGCACCTGCAGCTCGCCATCCGCAACGACGAGGAGCTCAACAAGCTGCTGGGCGGCGTGACCATCGCCCAGGGCGGTGTCCTGCCCAACATCCAGGCCGTGCTGCTGCCCAAGAAGACGCAGAGCTCCAAGAAGTGAGCGCTGCCCCCCGTCCCCCTGCCCCCAGCTCCCCTCTCACCACTGCCTCACCTCTCCTCCCGATGGGGCTGGGGTTCCCCGTCCTGCCCCTCAGCCCGGGCTGGGTGGTGAGCCCTGGCAGCACCCTACCAGCCCTCCACTAGCCCCCCCGGCCTGGGCTGCGGCAGGGTGCTGGGGGAGCATGGGTGAGGTTAGGCCCTGCTTGTGCCCCCACCCTGCCCCTCTTCCCTCTGGAGGAAGTGGTTTTGGAGGAGGCAGCTGGATCACAGCTGTTGGTAGCGGTGATATCTGGAGCCGTATGGTTGGGTCATGGTGCAGAGCTGCTGGGAGCTGCTGAGGATTGTTTTGGCTGGTGTGGGGATGGACACGGGTATCCCCGGCTGCCTCTCCCCTCTGCCAGCCCTGGGACTGTGCAGGGCCCCCCCAGCTGGCCCTGCTCGCTCTGGTGTGAGGATGGGACTCGCTGCTGCCGTGCCCCCCCCTCCATCCCCAGCAATGCCGTTCCGGCCGCACTGCAGCTGCGAGAGCGGGGGGGCTGGAAAATGTGAAGAGGAGGAAAAGTTTCTCCGTTGGCAAGAAGTGGCTGTTAGTCTTAGTTTTGTTCTTGGTAAAGCTAGTGCATTGCCTACTGTAAAGAAGCTTTGGTCCTATTTATTTTGAGGTCTTTTATTCGGGGGTACTCCCCTGCAAAGTCACCTCCCCGCAGCTCCCTGGCTCGGTGGGTGCTGGGGGGCTCGGTGGTCCCACATGCCGTGGGTCCTGCTGGCAGGGTGGGGTGGAGGCTGCGGTGACAAATCCCCTCGGAGAGCGTCGCAAGGTCAGGCGCCCGCCGGGAGCGGGAGCTGCCATCTTCTGCTGTGGCTCCCCTCCTCTCCCAGCTGCAGAAGCCCTTCGCCTCGCTGAGAGCTCCCCTGTACCCTGGTTGCACTTCTGGAAAATGATATCCTGTGTCTCCCTTTTTGTTGTTGTTTGTTTGTTTGTTCAGCACTATTTCTGGTTCTGAGAAATAAAGTGACGATGATATGTGTTAACTGTAAACCCTCTATGGATTAATATTTCTTTTCAAAACCTGTATCAAAGCCCACTCCTAGCTAGCACTGTATTTATTTAATGGCTGTGTGGATAGTGTGCGAGCATGGGGGCAGGCTAGCTGTCCCGTGACCCCTGGAATAGCTGATGCAGAGGCAGCTTTCCTGGCTGCCCAGTGCAGCCGCTTCTGTGAGCCCGTGTGCATGCAGCAGTGTCGAGGCAACCCGACCATAGACCTTCATCACGTGTTTTTTAAGTAAAAAAAGAGCATCTCCTATTTATGTGCTGTTAAGTAGCATGTGTTCGACCTATGGAATCAGCTGTTAATCTCGTGGATGAAGTAACTTACCCTGGCTCTCAGTGTAATGTTTAGATCTAGAGTAGATGAACCTGGACGCTTGTCAACTGGCTTTAGGAAGGGGGTTTTCACTCTGGAATGTGGAAGCGATGTGTTCACTGCTGGTGTGCCAGTGGGGGTGTGGAGGTGTCCCATGGTTACTGACCTCGGATGGGTGGGGGGCACAGCCCTGCTGTGGCAGCACAGCCCCCCTGGGATCTCTCTGCCTCCTGTAAAGGGACTGTTACAATCAGCAAGGTGGGGATGAGCAGTTTGCTTTCTGCTGCCCAGTGTGGTGGTTGATGTGTCTGTATCCGAGTGTCTTGTTCTCTCCCTCTTGTTTTTTCCAGGACCAGTGTTCTGTAAACCCGAGAGTGTTTTGTATTTCTTAGAAAAATGCAGAACTTGTGATACTGAAAAGAACGGTGCAAACCCAATATCTGATTAAACTGGTTCCCTGTTGAATGCTGTCAAATGTGCTGTGTCTTGTCACCTCACAAAACCCATGGAATCTGGCAGGCTCTGGTGGCAGCTTGTTGTCTGGGCTCAGTTTTCTCCAACAGGAAGGATTAGTAAAACACCAGACAGGACCACTGCTAGGCTGTGTAGGCCCTTCTCTCAGACAGTCTTTTCTTATCCCGGGAGCAGGTAATACTGTTGTCTGGCTCTTCTCCCTGCTATGGGAATGCCACATTGCCTGGTTGCTCTGTCACCAGTGACAGGAAGCCTTGGCTGCTCCTGGCTGGATACAGCAGAGAAAGAGTGAGGCTGGACCAGGACCCTCTCCCAGTGCTGGAGGTGCTTTCTCCTCCCAGTGGGCTCCTCCAGGACCCTCAGGGTGACCTTGCAGGCAGGTAGGCAGAGATGAGAAAAGCTGATCCTGAAGGGAAGGGAGGAACCTGGAGATAGACTATTTCTTGGTCTCACACCTTCTCCTTTGTTGGACATTCCCAGTTTGCTGTCCTGGTGGCTACTCTGCAGACCAGCATTGCTCTGCTTGGGTTTTGGGGAGGAAGGGTTGTGGGAAGCTTGGACAGTTCCCAGTGGGGTCATGGTTGGGTGCTGGTTGGTCTGTGCTGGGCTGTAGGAGGTGTGGGGCTGGACTAGGGGTGCTGGGCCAGTCTCTGTGGGGCAGTGTCCTGCCTGCTGCCCTGCCAACCACACTGCCAGCACTCGAGGCAGGAACAAGGACAGGGGAACTGCTCCTGAGGAGCTCTGCAGCCACCCTGGCCATTGTGTGGCTCTGCCCAGGACTGTGGGTGATGTGGGCACTATGGCTGGGTGCTGGTGTATACGCAGTGCCCTCAACACTGAGCTCCAGCTGGGGTCTGAGCTTCCTCTGCAGACATATGACAGACCAGCTGGGAAAGCTGGGCTGTTGGAAGCCAGACCGAAGGAAATCCTGTCTGTCGCACCAAGCGTTGCTGAAGTGCTTGGCCTTTATCACCTCATGAACCTCCCAGCTGAATGTTGTTGTGACCAGGAGAGTTGGAAGTCTTGATCTTTATTAGAAAGCTGGAGTGGACATGGTCACCTTTAATCCTGCAGCTCCAGAGACTGGTCTTGTAGCTTTCTGGAGCTGGTGTTGCTGGTCCTGGCTCTCTCTTTTAAATGCTTAATAGCACTAGAGCAGCCGAGCTCATAAAATGTGAAGGACTTGGCTCGGTAGAGGCTTTTCAAAGGTCAAGCAAGCCTGGAAGAGTGTCTGTTGATCTGTGCTTCCCTTAAGGAGAGGGCAGGGGGGCTGCAGGATTCTTCCCCTGCCTCCTTGGGTACCTGAAAGTGAGATGAGCACAGATCTGGAGCTGCAGCTGCCTGCTTGGGAGGCTGCTATGCATCGTGCCACGTGCAGCAGGATCTCTGCCAGCTGAGTCCCTCAGCTCTGGGACTGGTTTTATTTGTCTGGGTGGTGAGATGAGTCACTGGCCCTTGGATGTCCTCAGGGCTTGGGTTTCTCTCCAGAGCCTGGCCCTCCTGGTTGGCAGCACCCCTGGCAGCTCACTCGGGGATGATCCAGCATCGTGGCTCCTGGCATCCCAACCTGTGAGGTAAGACAGCTCCAGCTGGGCTGGCACAGTGTGTCACCGTGGTGCTGTCCCTGTGCTGGGCAGCCAGAGGCTCACTGCCTTCCCACTGCCCTTACCTGCCCACAGGAATGCCCTGCTGGTTTACCTGGAGGGGTGGTTATTACAGCCACTGTTTGCCTCGCAGGTGAGTGCCAAGGGGAGCTGTGCCCTGAGATGTGGTTGGTTTGACCAACCACAGGGGGTGACCCCCCTGCCCCAGGTGTCACTGTCAGCCCTCGGGGAGGGTGTCTCCTCTCAAACCTGCAGTGTCAGCTCTTCTCTGACACAGCTGCAGGTCGGTGCTGGAATGCAGCAGCTCTCTCCTGGGACAGCAAGAGCTCTCTCCTGGGACCCGAGGTTGCTGGCAGGCGCCCAGGCCTGGTGTGAGATTTGCATGGGCAGTGGGATGGTGGCTGGCCTGTCCTAAATACAGACCTGGAGGGAGGCTGTAGCTTCCTGGAGCAGAGCAGAGCATTGCTGGTCTCTTCCAGCAGCTTTTTCTTGCTGGATCTAGTGGATTGACTTTGCTTCAGGGAGTAAAACTTTCTTCCCTTCTCCCTGCTGGTTCTGGGCCCTGGAGGAAGGGGCTGCTCCTTTCCCAGGAATGCTAAAAGGCCCTGCCATGGCCTCATGTTGTGGCCATTCCCAGGCACCACTGGCTGCTGTCCTTCTGTCCCCTCCTCATGGGGATGGCTGTGCATGGGGCTGATCCATGCTGTGTTCCCCAGGCATTGGGAGCATGTTGATGCTCTGGGCACAACACCTCGCCGGGGCTGGAGCAGCTGTGGGGTGATGCTCCTGCTTGAGACTGGTGAGGGCAGCAGGGCAAGGCCCTGGTGTGGGGCTGGTATTGATGGTTTGGGTGCGGGCTGGGTTTAACCACAGCCGGCCTGGGTTGCACTCACAGCCCATCCTGCGGCAGGGATCTGACATGGGGGCTGCTCTCCCGTCCCCTCCCTCTCCTGCAGCCCCGAGGGTCCCCGGAGCGCGGAGGGCGATGAGCCGGGGCGAGGGATGAGCCCTCCCGCAGCCGGCAGAACAAGATGGCCCAGATCCCTGCCGGGATTTACGCAACCTCGCCGGTGCTATAAATAGGCACGGCCGCGGGGGGCTCCGGCGCTCCCTCCGCGGGGACCCAGCCGGGGGGGACGCTCCAGGCCGGGAAGGCAGGTGGGGGTGAGCCCTGGGAGCTGCTCCCCCTCCACGCCGGGTGGTGCGGGGGGGTCGATCCCGCTTGGGGTGGGGGTCTGTGCTGTGGGTGCCCCCCGGGGAGCTCAGCTATGCAGGGACCGCGCTCCTCCCCCGACTCCATGGCAGGGGACCTTCCCTCTGCTCCTGCCCTTCCCCCGGAGGGGATCGTGGCCTCTGGCACATCAGCAGCCGGGCGGACCCCCGGCCAGCGGGGACCAGCCTCCCCCCTCCCCGCCCGCTCCCCCGCGCCTGCAGGGAGCACACACGCGTCAGCGCGGCGATGTTTTGTAACAATTTATTTGAAACGACGATAAATGAAAAGAAAAAACCAAACAAAAAAAAAAGACCCCGCTAACCCGGACCCTCCCCCCCCCCATACAAAAACATTGAAGGCCATCGCAGGTGCGGCCGGCGGCCGACAGGGGGCGCCCACTCCCACGCGCCGCGCCGTTGCCATGGCAGCGGGGGACGCCGCGGGCCGGCAGGGGGCGCCGTGTCCCTTCGGGGCGGCCGCGAGCAGGCACGGGGCGCGCGCGCGCACGGCGGGGAAAGGGGCGGGGCCGGGCGGGACGCGCGCGCGGCGGGAGGAGCGGGGCGGGGCGCGCGCGGGCGGCGGGAGCGGGACCGGCCCACGTGGCGCGGGGGGGCCCCGCCGCAAAATGGCTGCTATGGAAACCGGGCGGGAAAAATCCCTGGGAACAACCGGGCGGACAAGGGGGGGGGCTGGGAACCGTCTACAGGCGGGGAAGGGCACGGCCGAAAACAAAAGGGCGCGATCGGGGAGAAGCCGCGGGGCGGGATGGGGGGGTGGGGTAGAAAAAAAATAAGGCGGCGGAGAAGAAGAAAGGGGGGCTGGGGCGGCCGCAGCCCCGCTCACCGCGCACGGCGGCGGCTGCGGAGCCGAGTCAGCAACACAAAGACAAAGCGGGTCCCCTGGGGTCTGTCCTCAGAGCAGTCTGTGCCGCGGGGCTCTCAGTCCGGGGGGCGGCGGGGGGCTCCCAGCGCCCCGATCTCATGCCTTCCGGCTCTTGAGCGCCTTGGGCTTTGCCGACTTCTTCACCTTCTTGCCCCCGGGAGACGCGGCTCCCTTCTTGGTGGCTTTCTTGGCTTTGCCCTTGTCCTTCTTCGCCGCCGCGCCGCCGGCTCCCTTCTTGTGCGATTTCTTCTCGGGCTTCTTGCTCTTGGCCGCGGGTTTCTCCGCCCGCCGGGACGTGGAGGCCGTCGCCTTCTTGTGGGACTTGTGGGCGCTGCTGCCCGTGCCCCCCTCGCCGCCGCCTTCCAGCTTCTTCCTGTTGAGCTTGAACGAGCCATTGGCGCCGGTGCCCTTGACCTGGAGCAGCGTGTCATTCTGTACCAGCGCCTTAATGGAGTACTTCAGGTAGGTCCTGCCGTTCTGCTGGTCGAACCAGGCCACCTTCTTGGCCTCGTTGTAGATCTTGGCCAGCGAGGAGCCATTGCGCTCGCCCAGTTTGCGGATCGTCTCCACCACCAGCTGACTGTATTTGCCCGGCTGGTTCTTCTTCTTGTTGTTCTTCCTTTTCTTCGACGGCGACAACGAGGAGCCGCCGCCGCCTCCTTTCGCTTTCTTAGCGGCCGCTTTCTTCTCCGGGGAGAGCGGTGCCTCCTCCGCCTCAGTCAGGGGCAGATCGGCTTCTTCCAGCTCTACCGACATGGTGCGGGGGGCCGCGGGCCGGAGCGGGGGCGGGCAGGGGCAGCGGCGGCGCGGCGGGGCCCGGCGGGCACGCTGTATCTGCTCCGCTCGGTCCGCGCTCTGCCGGGGCGGGCGCCGCCGCCGCCCTTTATATGGGCGCGGGGCGGACCACGTTGAGAACAACAACAGCCTGGTCCGCCGCCAGCCCCAACTTGTGCTTCTTGGGGCCTCTTCGCGGGGCTCCCGCGCGGCCGCCGGGCCCCCCCGCGCCGCCCCGCCCGCCCCGCGCCCCGCGCCCCCCCGGCCCCGGCCCCGCCGCCGCCCCCGCGCCCCCCGCCGAGCGCCGCCCGCCGCCCCCCGCCCGGATTTCGGGGGCGCGCCCGGCGCGGCGGCGGCGACGAGAAGGGGGGTGCCCGACGCGGCGGCGACTGGGACCTCGCCGCGGCCCCCCCGCGCGGCGCCGCCGCCGCCGCCCGCCGCCCAAGAGGGGCCGCCGCGGGCGGGGGGAGGCGGCGGGCGGTGGGGGGCGGCGGCGGCGGCGCTGGCCCCGGGTTCTCCGGAGGGAACTAACACAGGCGACGCCCTCCCGCGGCCGCCGGCAGCAGCGCGGAGGTGCCGCGCCGAGGCCGGGGGTCTCCGCCCCGGCGACTGGGGCCGCCCCCCCACCGACCCTCGGCCCCGCGGCCGCCCGGGCGGGGCCCCCGACGGGGGAGCGGTGCGTGTCCTGTGCCCCCCCCCCTCCGTGGGCATCGCCCCGCAGCGAGGGATGCGGGGAGCGCGGCGAGGCCGGGGGTCTGGAGCGGGAGGCTGGAGGGGTCCCAGGCCTGGCTCAGTGCGGGGGGGCAGGGTGGGGGGTTGTGAATCGCTGCCGCCCCCGCAGCCCCGGCGCGCCGTGGGAGGGGGGCGAGGGGCTCGAGCCCCGCTGCAGGCGCAGCTCCGCGTGGGCTTGGGAGGGGGGCAGCAGCGGTGGTATGAAAGACCCCCCCCAAGTCACCCCAACCCCCAAATCCCACCGGGAGAACCCGGCTTCAGGGGAGAGGGGGGCAGAGGATGCACAACGCCCCCAACGCCTGGAGGAGTCCCTCTCTCCCGCTCCTTGGGAGTGGGATCCGTTGTGCCCCCGCCATGGGTGGGCCGGGGGTGTGAGTGCGCGGGGGCGTCCCCGCAGCCGGCACACGCGGGGAGCAAGCACGGGGGTGTGCACAGGCGGGCAAACACGCCTACACATGTACACACATGTAACACACACATATAACACAGGCACGCACACACATGTAACACGCCTGTAACACACACGTACACAGAGATATACACACACGGTCACGCCCGCACACATTCTCGCACCCCGCCCCCTGCCCGCTCCGAGCCCGCACAGCCCCGCCGCCTCCCCTTCCTCCTCCTCCGCCTCCCCCTCTCCCCATCCCCCGGCTCCCTCCGCCATTTCCCTCGCCCAGCCCCCGCCCCGACTGCCCGCGGTGGTGGGGGGGATCCCTGGAGCCGCCGGATCCTGCCCGGGCGTGTGTCTGTGTGTCCCCATCCCTCAGCGGGGTGCGTGTCCCCCCCCGAGGAGAGAGCCCCCCAGAACAGCGGGGTCCTACCCCCCGCAGCAGCCGTGGCCAAGCACCCCTGCGATGAGTTGTTCCGGCCTCTGGGGGCTGCGGGGCGCTCGGGCAGGAGGAGGGGGCGCAGCCCGAGGAGCGGGGGCGCGGCCCCGGGACCCCCCAGCGGGAGCCGCTCGGCCCCGGGGACGGGCAGCGTCCAGCGCGCACCCCTGGAACACGGCACCCCCGGCACGGCTGTCACCGGGGGATGTATAATGTGTACATGTGTGTGTAACACACAAACACGTACCTGCAGACATGTAAAGGTAACGCTGTAGCCGAATGGAAGCTTACAGCTAAGCCGTCTATAGGTAGTGGTTGTATAGGGGGAGTGCGTGTGTCATACGTGTATTACAGATGAGTGATATCTAATAGTTATTATTTATTGCGAAAGCTGTATGTAAATTTAAAATAAATGTAAGTGCATGCTCACACATAAAGAACTAGCTATATATTTTTAAAATATTGACAGAAGTATATATTTAAATACAATATATGTGGCTGGGCAGTGAGTGCACGGATCTCACCCCAGCTGGGTGGCTGGCAGCGCATCCAGCACAGGGATCCAGCACCAGTCCCCATCCCCCAGAGCACCAGGGGTGTCAGTGTGAAGACTTCTCTCTCTCCTTCCTAAAGAGGGGGTAGGGAATGGAACGCACATGTATAAATATATGGAGGTATAAATATTTGAGCTGAATGTATGGGGGAGGCTGTGCGTGTGAAAGAGACACAGAGAATGGGAGAAAATAGCCCCACCACACACACACATTCTCTCCCCATACATGTGTACTTATATAGACACAAAGGGTGAGTCTTGTTCACATACACATCTCTCATATACATACACAGATATACATATTACAGAGGGAGTGTAAGAGGTTCACACACAGTTCTCTGTCACTATATATACACATATACAGGCATATATAGAAATGGGGGATGAGAGAACAAGTGTGCTATTCAAACACACATGTATGTATAATGT